CTAATCTCCCCATCCCAATTTGTTTCATACAGACAGTGTGAACAATATCTTTGGTTGTCCATGTGCACTAAAGTATACGTAGATCTACTTTGCTGTTCTTATATCGTTTAGTTTATGATTTTCAGAGTTGTCTAAACTCACTGATTACCGTTAACAATGTAGTGTTGGCTTCATTGTTTCCCTCTTTTAGCTATACCTAAAAATTGAGTGTCACTTGCAAGTAACTCAGTAATGATGATAGCCTACTGTTGCCTAGCTGTTGCTTAGCTCTGTGCGCGCGGTGTAAAAAATAAGTTGCCTGGAGACAGTAACTGTCGCGCAACCAAAATTGCCGTGTGCGCGCCTAGCCTTATGGTAGCGCGGACTATCTTCTCTACTCTTCCACTTGATCTGTTTCTGAATTAATCAGCAGAGGCGAAATACCTTTTTTGGTTTATTTAGTGTGAGTTTTACGGCGCTCGCAACTGCATAATGTGATATGACCATGCGAAACACAAGTTGGTTGCTTTCACGACAGTTCTTAGCACGGCTTCATTTTTGGTCAATGAACAGATTAAAATGTTAAAAATTCATGGTGGAAATCTCAATCTAAAAATGAAAATTTACTTGATTTTAAAACAGCAGCATGTTACATGTTTTAATTTACATAAATAGTAATATATTACATTTTTTTAAAGGCTGACTTCCTTCGGGTCTCCCCAAAGTCTAGACGCTCTGTTAAGAGGTGTCTAATGGTGAAAGCTGTGTCGCATCCAACATAGAACGGTTTCTCATCTCCCTGTAGGAGGCATTTGTGTGTCAGGGAGCTGTGTCCGATACGCAATCGAGTAAAGATGACTTCGTCTCTTCTGATCGGCCTGCTCATTTCCTCAGGTGCCCACATGGCTTGGTAGCCATGCTAACACACTAACACGATACGTTTTCCGGTTTCAGTTAAAGTATGCATTTTTAGTTGAAACCTAACTATTTGGGGATGTATGATAGTGTAATTTTTGAGTGAGGGGATGCAAGACAGAGAGTCAAACAGAACAAGGAAACATGTGTAAGGGGCATCTGATTTAGAGCCATCTGTGAAGATAAGCTCTCTACCGGGGTATTTTTTCTTAAGTGTTTTGTATGCAGCTTTGAAAGTTTTGTGATTGTGCTTGCTGTGTCGTGTGTGGTGAGTTGTAAGAATACTTTTCACGTTGTGAGGTGCCACGGAGGGAGGTCTAGGAAAAGAAATTGTTCGATGTCTTATTTGGAAAAAGTGTATGATTTTGAGGTCCGCAAAGACTCTTAGGCTGAAAGGATTGATGAGTTTTTCGTTGTTTTTTAAATTTGTTTATTGTGTCTGGGTGTGTTTCAAATATGCACTCGTGTGCTGGGTTCTTTGGTGTTGAGCTTTGTTTAATTGCGTATTGTAGTGATACCTGTGTGCGTCTGAGTGTGAGTGATGGTATGTTTGCCTAGGCCTGGAGGCTCTCTACCGGAGAAGTGTGGACAGCCCCCAGAGCGAGGCGGAGTCCTTGGTTTTGTACTGGATCTAGCATTCTCAGGACGTGGGGTTTTGCCGATCCACAGTCCTGACAGCTGTAATCAAGCCTGGATCGGAAAAGGGAACAGTATAGGTGGAGAATGTATTATGAAGCCCTGCCCCACTACGGATTTGATACAATTTTTAAAGCGTTAAAATGCTTTCTGACACCTCACACGAAGGTCTTTTATACATGTATCTGGATGAATGTAAGTTTCTTGTCAATGATAATTCTGAGGAAACGAGAAGGGAATCCTTTTAAGATATTCCTGTGGCATAGTTATAATAACAGATTCAGAATATGACCTTAAATCGCTTCAATAGTGCGGCCAAAAATTCGTGGCGCAACTTATTGTCAACCATCGAATATAAACTCTCCAGCTTTTGCACAGTGCCTAGTGACTTGCATCAATTTGTGTCTCGCGTAATAGGGGACCAAATTTTACCAAATTTCACACATATATAAAGCATAGTATGGGGTCTTAAACTCCGCAATCAAATTTGAGAAAAAAGTTTCGTTTCCATGGATACAGCGGCCATGTTGAATTTTTTGACATGTCTTATGTAATGAATACCGCACTTATTTGTCATGGAAATTGATTTTTTTTTGCATGCATGTTAGCAAACATTAGATCTAAAAATTTATGAGTTGATTTTTTCCTTAATGAATTAGAACATTTAATGAATTTTTTCCTGAGGTAGTATTCAAGTTTGCAAAAAGTCCGTGAAAATCCACACTCCAGACACCACCAACAAAAATCTCTTCCATATATCAAAAATTTAACGAAATTATTTTTGATATTGCATCTTCTCTTCATTCTGTGAAACGCTCATGAAGATTGGATGAAAAACGGTAGAGTTATTTTGGAAAAAAGGATAGAGAAAATTCGCGTTTTGAGAAAACGACCGATAAAAAATAATAAAATAATATTGACTTGATGAGGAAATGGTGGGGACAATCATCCCTGGTGCGGGAAGAAATAAGGTTTTTGGGGGTTCTTATGCGATGAAATAGTTGAAGGAGAGGCTGAGAAAGCTAAAAATGCTTACAATTCAAGTTCCAAAATTTTTAGTCGAATCGGGACTTAGGGGGTATGCCCCCCCCCCCCCCACCTCTCTCCCCACCCCTTACAGATCAATATTTTTGTAAACACCTGTTAGCTCTATTTTTTTTAAAAATTAAATAAATACTCATTTTAAAAATCCCAATGGGTGGTTTCTACTGACTTTAAAAGGTTTACAGCTGGGACAATATCGCTTTTAAAAGCAAGTCTGGTCATTGTTTTTTCTATTTGCGAGATTATCTTTACTGAACGCATGTTGGAGAACTTTTAGTGCAAAAAAAGTGTTCACTATAAAATAAATCTCTTGTAACTAGTTTTGCCATTAAAAAGGGTCACAGGTGAGCTGTGACGTAAGCAATATGCGAATGCAAAATGTGTCAGAGAAGAGGGAAGTGTTGTGAACCATTCCATTTTCCGTGTGAAGGAGATTTGTAGTATATTATAAATTAATGAAGAAATGTTTGTTTTTTCAATCAAGCTGAATTGTTTGTTGAAAAATATGATTAACTTAAGACAAATTGATACAAACTGCTTTGCAAAGTATGGGTGACAATGATTCAACCGTTAAAAAGACATTTGAGGATAAGTAGCGCCACGAATTTTTGACCGCACTCTAGATACTGTTGCAATGGAAAGTGAACGTAAAGGGTTATTAATGAATGTTTAGAAAACAGAATGCATGTTATTATCCAAAATAGCAGCAAAATATAAAAAAAACCATCAGAAGAAGCAAATCCTATTTTCGACCTACATAAAAACGTTTCAAGAAATTCGAATACCAAAGAAATACACTTGTTTCTAGCTTCTCATACTACAATTAGGCTGGACTAGAGTAATCAGTACAAAGTCGCTTGTAAAATTGCAAAACCAGGATGCAAAAGCAAATGATTTGTATGTTATTCCAACCACACTTACAAAAAAACAACAACAACAATTCCATGTATGTGGGTGGATGGCTGGTGCTGTAGTGTGGTTTGTTTCGTCTTTCCTCTCAAGCACCCATTGTCTTTATCTCTCCGCAATCTTGTTTGTGTTTGTTACTCTTCATGAATACTTCTGATTTTCGGCACTTTATGACCGAATTGCATTCAAGTGCCGTAAAACATTTACCAAAACAAAACTACTACTTCCCACTGAAGCGTGACGGCGTCTGTGGTGTAGCGGTGCTTACCCCTTGCAAGCAGAAGACGTCAACTTGATCACTCGTTGCTTTATTTAAAAATCGAATATTTCCGTCTATTTGCTGGAAAGTTGAAATTACGTATCCCCCTAGTCCAGGCATGCGCTGACCGATGAGTCGAAATAGACTGCCTCCTAAATAAACCGATTAATCGTAAAGCATCTACAATTACAATGAAGTTTTGTTGTTGTTGTTTTTTTGGGGTTTTTTGGGGGGGGTGGGCTACATATTGAGTTCCTGCAGAAGCCTCCAGGGTAAAACGTTGAACACCTTTGACGCAACTTAATCGATTGATCTTCACTTCTTTTCGTAGTCATTCTACAATCTTTGTGACGATAAAGATAATCGGATATTCCTACTTGAGCATGTTTTGACAGGAAAGCACTTCCTTTCAAGAACACTAGTGAACAACTTCCGGTGATTATTGTAGTAGGCCCCGCTTACAAACATCATGATGAAGCTAGACCTACAAAGCCGAGAGATAAATATTTTTCCGGAAATCGATTACAGGAACCGATAAAAGACTATAATAAGGTGATTGATAACAAATCATATTGCTGGATGGGATTGGGAGGACTCCGCAACGAGCGGCCACTATTAGATCTAAATCTAGATTATACTCAATGCCTTCCGAAATCATGGTGGGAGACCGAAAGCCACTGTTATACCATCTGTTCATGACAAAATTACGATAGTTTGCGCATTTTTAGACCCAGTTTAAAGTTTTGAAGGTCTGAGTCGGGGATTAGTAGACTTGAATCAAGGCACAGCTATTGTTGATCACACAGACTTTATCTACTTCCGTTGTTTAGGAGCGCAGAATTGCCAGGTTTTCTTCGGTTTCTAACCAAACTCTCACCGTGATTAATTCTAGCAAAATACATTGTATCATTGTTAGGGAGGAGGAATTCCGCAACGAGCGACCAATATGAAACTGAGAAAAATAAAGAGTTGTTAGGGTTAGCGTTAGATTTAGGGATAGCGGTAGAGGTATGGGTAGGGTCTGGGGTAGGGGTTGGGATAGAGGTATGGGTAGGGGTAGGGTCTGGATTTATTTTGGTAGCCTCGGCCTAGGGCTAGGGGGATAGGTCTTTCCTTGTGTTTGATGAAGGTTAGGGGTTGGATTGGGATGTGGGTAGGGGGTAGGGTTAGGTCTTTTCTTTATTGCGTTTTTTTGGGGGGTTTGGGTTAGGGGTACGGTAGGTCTCCCCTTTATTGTGTTTGTTTAGGGCTAGGGGTAAGTCGTTGGGGTTAGTTTTGGAGTCGGGGTGGAGGTAGGGTTAGGGGCAGGGTTAGGGGTAGGGGTAATAGTAGGTATCTTTTTTGTTTTGTTTGTTGAGGGTTAGAGGTGAGGGTGGGATGGAGTCGGCTTAGGGTTAGGGTTAGGCTTCTTCTTTATTGAGGTTGTGAAGGGTTGGGGTTTGGTGTAGGGGTAGGGTTTGCGGTAGAGTTAGGGTTAGGATGGTAGGGGTGGGGTTGGGGTTTGGGGTTGGGGTAAGGGTAGGTCTCTCCTTTATTTTAATTGTTGAGGATTATCAGGGTAAGGAGTAGGGTTGGGGTAGGGTTAGGGGTAGGAACTATGGGTTTGGGGTTAGCGTTGGGGTAGGGGTGGAGGTAGGCTTGAATTTGTTGAGGGTTAGGGGTAGGGGTATGGGTAGGTCTCTTCTGTATTGTGTTTGTTGGGGGTTAGGTTTTTAGGGTTAGGGTTGGGGTAAAGGTGGGGGTAGGGGTAGGGTTAGGGGTTGGGTCAGGGTACGGGTTAGGACTCTTCTTTATTGTGTTTATTGAGGTGGTCGTTCGTTGCTGAGGGTAGGTTTTCTTTTCACATAGGGTAATTGGTGGG